ATATATATATATATACCTGAGTATGTTTTTTCACTGGCACATTCATGTTATTAGTTTTTGCAACTTGAAAAGTATTAATAAGGAGATCAGGTGGGTAAATGGGTGGATGGTGTGGTCGAATGCATGGAAGAAAGACTCGACGAATGGATGGCTGGGCAGATGAATGGCAGGCAGGAAGGGAAAGGGCAGCCCCAGGTAGACCGTTCTCACTCAGCCCCTCGGCTTGGCATCTTACCTCCTCTAGCTGGGTGCTGTCTTTGGTGGTCTGAAAATTCTGGCTAAGCTCGTCCACTTCTTTTTCAAAGAGGGAGCGTACTTCACTGAATCCTGAGCTCACCGGTCCCATGAGCTCCTCCAGAATGGACGCCAGGAAAGGTTGCACGTTTTCCGCACAGCTTTTCTCTGCTGGTTGGGCCACCATTGCTGAGGCAGGAAACAGCCAGAAAACCATGACTTATGGCTAAATTGGATTCAAAGCCAGACCAGGGCTGGACAGTGCCCTACAGAGCCACTGAACAGCCAAGGCAAGCTCAAAAGACAGCACAGACCAGCGCAGTGAGTCCTGTGCTGGCATTCGCCAGAATGGAAAACCATTATATGCTTTCAGAATTGGGACAAACAGATTCTCTCTCCTCCCCAAGGGTCCCTCTGCCCTGAGACGAACTGCATTTTTTTTGCGTGGTCCCCATAAATACGTAGAGCCTATACAAAAACAAAAACGACAGTGACCCACTTATTTACTGTCACTCGTCACCATTATAAATGCACAGTGTGTCTTCAAAAGACACGATTCGTTAAGTTTTTTTAAAATTGAGGTATAATTGATATATAACATTATATTAGTTTCAGGTGTATAACATAAGGATTCAATATTTGAATACACTGCAAAATGATCACCATCATAAATCTAGTTATCATTAATCACCATACAGAAGTACAAAAATATTTTTTTTTCTTGTGACGAGAACTTTCAGGATTTACTCCCTGTTAACTTTCAAGTATGCACCACAGTATTATTGACAATAGCCACTATGCTGTAAATTACATCCCCGTGACTTATTTAATAATTGGAAGTTTGTACTTCTTGACCCCATTTACCTATTTC